TTTAAACGCAAATAAAATTTATCATTTATCCCTCTATTCACAAAAGTTCATTTATGTTAGAATACACTGGTTTCTGATCTCTATCAACAACAGTCAGATTGTATTTTACGAAAAACAATCTATAGATAATGTTGAAGTAGACGGAAGAGAGATTGGAACTTTCCTCTCCACAGAGATAACGAAGACACCATCACAATAGGAACGCAATTAGGCCCGAGTTACAGGCGACTCAATATTGTTCTCTAGAAAGTTTTGAGCCCCATCTAGAAGTATTACCAGAGGATCTTCGCCTCCTCTGCAGACATAGTCAAGTGCAGATTAAGCTCTGACCAACTTTTTTGTAGTAACGGCATTACATAACACACACGTTAGCAACGCTGCTTTCCTTCTCCCTTATAGACCGTCATGAACATCACCATGAAACCGAGCTCGAAAATCGGATCATTATACAAAGCGAGTCAATTTATTATATGTGTCGTGTGCTCTTGATTTCAAACTTCTTGTAATATATTACAATTAACATCTTTCATCGTGGACATAATTCAACAGTACATTAGAATTGAAAAAACGAATCCTATGTTGCAGAATTCCCTAATTTATAATATATATATATGGGTCTATTTCGTGTTTGACATTTTCATCTTGCATGTATTATGCTAATAGCCTTTTGTATCATAAAATAGAATTATATCTTATCAATATATTATTGTTGCTGTGTTTCAATTTGTAATTGACTTCCATTTCTGATCATCAAATAAGATGTTTTGTAATATAACTCTACTGATAGTAATTAAACATAATTAATTAACAGTTTGTGTCTTCAATGCTAAATGACTTTTGTGAATAGAGTGATAAATGATAAATTTTATTTGCGTTTAAATTTTTACGCCACAATAAAACAGATTAATTATAACATTTTTTTAACTAATTCTAAGGTCTTATGATATATTTTCAGATCAGAATGGTTTGAAGGAAGTGCATTTTGTGCCATATTAACAGCATTTTCAACATATGCTAATGCTTGGTGATAAGAGCCCATATTGTAATATACGTTGGCAATTCTATTATGCAAGGAAGCCAATAAAGGATCATTTGAAGCGAGATTTCTTTGGCAAATGTGCAATCCTTTCTGATAAGATGAAAGTGCTCTTGAATATTCTTTCATATGTTCATATACTTCGCCGACATTGTTGTATAAAATAATTAAATCAGGATGATTGGAATGTAGAAGTTGTTCACTAATAGCAAGTGCTTTTTCGTAAAATAATATTGCTTTCAAATATTCACTCATATTGTTATATACTGAAGCAATGTAGCTATAGCAGGTAGCCAAATGTGGATGATTTGATGGAAAAGTCTTTTGAAAAATGTCAAGAGCTTTTTCATAAGATGAAAGTGCTTTCGAATACTCGCACATCTTCTCCAGTGCTTTACCAATATTTTGATAACAAACAGCTAAATCAGGATAACTAGATGGCAAAGTTTTTTGATAGATTTCGAGTGTCTTTTCATAAAACCAAAGTGCTTTTGAACAATCATCTATCTTATCATGAACTAGACCAATATTATTATAAGATGCAGCCAATGAAGGATGATTTGGAGGAAGTATTTTCTTGAAGATTTCAAGTGCTTCTCGGTGACATATAAGTGCTTTGATATATTCACCCATTTTATCATATACTAAACCAATATGGTTCAATGAAGCAGCAAGATCAGGATGGTCTGCAGGAAGTGTTACTCGATAAATTTGCAATGCTTTCTCATGAGAAGAAAGCGCTTTAATATAGTCGCCCATTTTATTATATATTAAACCAATATTGTCATAGGATATAGCTAAATCTGGATGATATAAAGGAAGAGTTTTTTCGTCAATTTCAAGCGATTTTTCATAAAATGAAATCGCCTCTACATAGTTTCCTAGATTATCTTTGATCCATCCTAACTGATGATAAATAGAGCCTTTCTCACTATCATCAGATGTCCGATTGAGTAATACTTTATATAAATCTTCAGCTTTGTCGAATTTACCTAGTTTAACTAGCAATTGACCCAGACAATACCATTCATTTACTCCGCAAATCTCTTTTCGCATAAGTTGAGTAAGTGCATTAAGCTGTGGATCATTCTCACTAGTTAAAGTTAGTTCAACTTCCCAAAGTCGACTATTATTGACGTCGATTTGTTTTATATCTCCGATATGAAAAACAGTATGCATAGAAAAGAGAACTTCTTGTTCTGATGCTTTGTAAAAGCTGACGTCATTAACGAGAGCAAAATGAATTGAAGAAATAGATGGATCAATTGTCATCTTGAAGACAATACCCATTGAGTCGAAATCAGTGATGGCACGATGAGCATAAATCAGAGCTATATTTCGCTTTTTACTGCTGGATAGAAAACTATTAAATGAAATCAATCCTCCTTTCATTTTCCTCATTTCATTAAAGCTTTTCTTGGATAAACCTTGACCACGATAAACAATAAATAGTTGTTCTTGATTAAGATCTTTGTATTGTTTTTGGTATAATTCTTCAATATGACGATGTAGATCACGAATGAAAAAACTCATTTTGATAATAATGTCAACTTCCATATTACGTAAAGATCGATTAAGCATCGGATACAAAAAACATTGGTTGGTATACCACCAGATAGGTGTGAATTGATGGTATTTACGTTCGAATTTGTCAATCATATTTAGATCTTCTTTATTATCAGCAAATTGAGCTCGACAATAAGTCGTAAATTCTTTTATAGATCTTTTATTAAAATCAATGTCAAATAAAATTTCCTTCAATAGTTGAATATACATAAATGATTGATCAAGTTTTGTCGTTGATGTATCATTATTTGTTGAGATAAAGCTAATTGGAATCGAGTCTTGGTCACATTGTTGTACGACTTGTTTAAGTTTAGTAGACAGAGGCAATATATCTGTGAAAACACCTTTTATTTTAAGCCATTTTTTCGCCCAATTTTCATGCTTTGTCTTATCACGACAGAAAATATAGATTGAGGTTACCTGAGAAATGCCATGAATGCGTGGTACAATGGTTTGACCTAATGAACCAGATACAATCATGAAAACTTTCTCATTCTGGATATTCATGAGAAAATCTATACATAAATTGACATCAACAAATGTATTGATTACATTTACAACATTCCGCAATTGAGTGATTGTATTAACAGAATCAGGATTATTAACTTCATCAATGTTAGCATCTAACCAGACGAGAACGAAATTTTGAACATTACACGATAGCGTACGTAAATGAAGATTTGATGTATTATTTTCATGTGCTGATGTATTGTTTGTCATCGGGAATAATACTTTTACAAGTGCACCGTTGAAAGTATTGTGTGATTTGCTAAACTTTATTCTGACTGATGAAGTTGATAATCACTAATGTCATCGGCTTATTAATACTATGTGAAATACAAAATATGATTTTAGTTGTATTTTGAAATGTTCATCGAAAGTTATGAGGAGAATTTTTTTTAATGTAATATTGACACTTTTCTTTAGGTTAACATTAGGTATGTATCGAAATGAGAAACTTTATTTTTTCACTTTTTTTGTTAAATAAATGTTTATTCACGAAAACAATGGATTAGCAAATATCTTAAAATACTAGACATTATAAAATGAATAATCTTTCAAAAAATAGGAGGTCGATAGTATTCTTACGACAAAGTTTCTGAAACAAATCTAGGCTAGAACTTTTGGTTGATGCTTGATTAATGTGTTTGTTTCTACTTGTTGCTCATGAAAGGGTGGTCGTCTTTCGTTTCTTTGAGTGTTCTATTTGAAAAAAGTAAGAACGAGTGAAAGAAAATAGGAATATCAGAAAAAAAAGTAAGTCATCTTATTACTATTGTTACCATAAGATATATTAATTAAGAAAATAAATATTATACATACTTTTTCTTTTGCAGATAAAGAGTCTCAATTTCTTTGTTTCAACTTGTATGTACTTGTTTTGACAAAAACATAAAAATAGCCGAAATCAAATACTATGTGATAATTATGAAGAAATATTCGGTCGAAGAATCAATAGAAAAAACGTTTTAAAACATTGCATAAGGAAATAAAATGATGTTGATCATTCCAATCATATATTCCAATGAGCTTTGATATAATTGATATGTTGCAGAGATCCTTTTAAGTATCTGAATTTTGTCTTCAGTTTACTTCGACGAATAATGATTTCGTGTATTCTACTTCTTTATTGATAAATTTTGATGGGTTCTCTTCCTATAAATGAATATGTTTTATAATAACTACGTAGTATTTTGAAAAAGAAAAAAAAAGCGTTTTCTTTATTTCAATCGAGTTTTGTTTTTATTTTTCTATGCATATTTTGTAATTTCTGGCAAGTATTATTATAAAAAAGAAATAAAAAAAGGTGAAAATAGAATTTCGTTTTTCACTGCATGAATGAAAAGAACTGACAAAAAACTGTTTTTTTATTGTGGCAAATTCTCTTTTTATTTTTGAGTTATTATGTCTCAAACGTAAAAAAAAAACATTAGTCAATATTATGAAAAAAAAAGAAACTTAAAACATTCCATACTCTCGTTCATGATGTGTTTCTTATACTGTCATTTGTACTTCAAACTTGTTGTTAAGCAAAACAAAAGAGGCAAATTTGATTTTCAAATGTATATTAAGATGACGATTGAACTATGTAATAAGTTCTAACAAACACAAAAGAAATGTATATTTGTTTCTATCAGTTGTAACGGATTGTTATTCATACAATGTATTGTAAGCAATATGTAAAATATTGATTTATACGGTCTATTCCATAAAAATAATTATTAATATAAATATACGGCTTAGGACAATAGATAGACTGATTGTTTGTTGTTATGCTTGAGTAGAATTTGACGAGTTAACCACAAAAATATTGTTGCTAACATTTTCATATTGATATTGTTATGAAAAGCTCAAACGTTGCATAAAGCTTAGGAACTGCTTTGGATAAATATGATGTGTTTTTGAATTATAATTCTTATATTGCTCCATCAAGTAGTTACTATTTATTTTCTTTTTTAAGGTATTTTATTCTATTTCGTTAGAAAAATTTACACATACAAACCACAAATATAAACAACATTGATTTATAACATAACTTGATAATTGATTCAATGCTACATGGTACAGAAGATCATATTTCGAAGATATAAAGTGATGATAGACAAATAGGTAAATATAATTCTTTTTCTTTTCATGCACAAAAAAAAAGTATGCTATACTCGAGTTTTAAAATGACATTCTTTTTCCATTTAGAAAATCATGTATTTTTAAAGTGGTTATAAAGATTCTCGCTACTGGTGGAAAAGTACTTGAATTTGAATTCTTTGCTCTCATATTTTCGTCACAAATAGAATAATTTGAACCCTGCTCGTAATGGTCAGTCAGGACTTCATCGGTCATCATCTAAAAGAGCTAGAAGATCAACATTGATTTTTTTCTTCAGACTAGTATATTTGATTTTAGGAAACAAATCTTTTGTCTGATCTATGAGGTAAGCTTTGAATAGTCTCGACATAAGAGTTGATGGGATTTACCGGAAAGAGACCTATAGCTCCGACTAGTTTCAACCATTCACCTTGAAGTTTTCTCTAATCTGCAGTCTACTTCAATTAATCAATTTTTTTCGTAAAATCTTCATGATTTCAGTTATCGACAGAGAGCAGATGCGTGTTAAAGCTGTTCAAGACACTTGAGGCTACTCCATGGCTCAAGGTTTTAGCAGATTGAAGCATCTTACCTGTGACATAATACAGACATGTGGAGTTTTATTCGTTAAGAAGAAAGTGAATGATAACGTGAAGTGGCATAGACAGGTGGTGGGCAATTGCCTATAGTAGAAAACTTTTGATAGTCATATATGTTCGAAGATTCAAGTGGTACAATCTTAATGCACTGTCTCTTGATGAGATGTAATCAATAGTTTTAGAAAAACAAATCCAGTCTTCTCCATTGAACCAAAAATCTCAATGGTGACGACTCAACGGTATTTTTTCATCAGCATACGCGGTACTACACATAAATTCGCTAATGAAGAACGTGGATGAATGCTTAATGACCTTTCTAAGTACATAAAGCCTATTGAAGAAAAACAGCTGAAGCAATCTAAGCTCTGATGTGATTCTCCCAATACAAGAACTAAAAACTCATATAAACTAAATAGAAGATGTAAATAAAAACCTGAGCCAGTATGCAAATGAAAGTGCTTTGAAAATAAAGTTGGGAATTGCGAGTAGTGGCAATAAAATAATAATATGTAATTTAGTGGATGTATAGGCAACTGAATATCAGTGCCATAAAAAAGAAAACTCAGATTTGAGAGAATTCCCCTAGTGATAAATGGGTTTGAGTGTGGGTGTGGGTGTGGATATCTGAATGAAGACAAGACATACACCTACACCTAACACTCACACCCACACCCAAAATAAGAAACCCTAATATATTCGATTATTCCCAGAACTTCATTGAAAATATATATAGGTATTTTTTTGGACATAATCAGAACAATTCGCATGTACCTTCATTTGTGATTAATATCAAAAAGTCGAACACATAACAAACAAAAAAAGCATTGATGCTTTCGAGAGAAAGTAGAATGAAGATTACTACACATGATTACTTGTAAACTAGTTATTGGCTAGAATTTTATGAAAACTTGTTAAAATATTTGACAAATCGAAATCTCCATTTGCTACATTAGTGAAAAATGTTGCTGCTTATGTTTAATTATTTAAAATAAAGCAATGATTGATGGAGATATTAATTTTATTGTATAATTATTGATGATTTATTATTATCACTTTAACAAAAGTCATAAAAATCAGTAAGAAATGAGTAATATATTACAGTTCATTTTCGTTTATGCATAATATTTGTTGACGATGCACTTCGTCAATGTTTTTGATGGGTTAATGATAATGGAGTACATCGAGTTAAGCCGAAAAAAAAATGAAACTGTTGATTGGCTTTTTTAATGAAGCTTTTAATCGTACCAACAGATAAACGACGAGATTTTGAGGTTAAATAACTTAATACTAATTCATTTCTATAATCATTGGTTTATGAATGTGATATTACGCAAGCGTCAATTAGATCAAAAAATGACTTTGTGTCGAATAGAGATAGATCAGGAGTATTTTAAAGAAAAAGAAAATATGAAAACCGAACTTAATGTTTTTCGTTAAATTAGATATTTATAAATCTCATTTTTATATTGAGTAATATTTTTTTGTTCTTCTAAGAACATATTTCATCCTATCAATTTTGTGAAACATGATCTAAAAGGAGTCTTGAGATGTAGAGGTAGAAATATAGATGTCCCGGAGGTGTGACAGAAAGAAATCTTCTTTATGATAGAAATATCTAATGAACATATAGTTTTCTAATATTTCTGTAAAATTCAATTAATTAGCATCAAGTTCGATTTTTAATTTATTTCAATCGTTCCTTGAATATTTTAAAATAAATTTTCACACAAGTATATCATTCATTAACTAAAATAATTTTTATTATTTCATCATTCCAAGTACTTTTTCATCTATTTCAATAAATCTATCACATTCAGCATATTTTTGTTTTTGAACAATTAATTATTTATTTGTTAGTGTTCTTCAAAGATATATATTTGGTTGCTGATTTTATTTGTGACAGTAAAGATTATTTTTTTTTAGTAAAGACGAGAGTTAGTTATTGAGAAAATCTTATGCATCTTGGTCGAATTGTGACAGTTTTTCATTATTTTCGTTCATGATTTTATGTTGTAGTTCAACTACAAAATAAAACTTGACAAATATTTAACTTTAAATTCAAAATAGTGCGTATTATTTCATTATAGAAGGACTTATATAGAAATATCTAAAATTGATATTTTTATGTGTATAAATTTTATAACAAAGTAACTGTGTTTTTCTTTCACATAGATAATAAAACAAAAACACCTGTAAATCTATCGTTTAAACCATCCAAGACCCCATGTAGATTCTGATTCCGGTGGTACATAATTTGGTGGCAATTCATCTAAATTAGCACTCCATAATTCAGCATTTCTAAATAAAATAAAAATAGGATTATAACAATCATTTTTTGTTCTTTCATAAAAGATTTACTCTCGATGTAAGATCCACTTCATAACTTGTTCATAGTGTAAATCTTCATAAGTACGATTTATTAATCGACAACCAACATTTTGAATAAAACCATACATAAATCTAACAAAATAAACATGAAAAATCAGCGAAATTGATAATGATCCAAATCAATTTAAACAAAATATATTTAATTTAATAGATTTATGTAAAAAAGACTGCTATTTGTAAAACGCACCAATAGTAAACTACTAACATTTTTCAGTCGCTCAAAGGAGACTGCAGAAATTTGAAAAGATTGAGTTTGAATCAAAATTCTGTATTGCTTCTGAATATAGGCGCAACATATTTCTCTAGAACTTCTGGTCTAGAAGTTGTCAGTCGACTTTTCAGGGGCGCGAAAATAAGTCTCGACGGAGAATATTGACTTCTTTTGCAGCAATAGTCTTCTTAACTGCATATGTTGCAGTGATGATTTCTATCTACATAGATTGTTCTGAGCAAAGTCGTATAAGAAGGAACGGCCGAGCCCACTTTACAAGTCTTTTTCTGCATAGAAATCGGCAAAACTCTTGAAATTGACATGGTGAACGTTACTAAACTACTCATTATTAACAAATGACTTGCAGCAAACTAATCATTAATAATACCATTCTATGGAGAAATGGTTACTCATGCAATCACTGCATTTGAAATAATTCTACAAGATCTCTTAAGAAGCTGAAAAATGAATGAATATTATACTCAAAGTACTTTCCGATAACTCGCTAAAAGCATGATTCATTTCTTGAAGTTGTCTTGCCAATTTTTTTTTTATATCTATCGAAACATATAAAGACTTTCTTCGTTGCAATCGATTTCTTTATTAGCTACTTACAAAAAAAATCTGTAGATTCTTATCATATATTAATCTTACTATAGCTGTATTTTATTTTCTCATTTCTGATAATTATTAAATTTAAATTATCTACCCCATAACACTGCCTTGTATCGTAGCAACAAATGCTGCCAATGGACTATGAAACATTTTAAGAGCAAAACCAACTAATGCACCACCTGGTATACAATCATATATAGTTGATTTATTACGATAAGCTTCAATAGCATATTGACTTGTCCTAGAATAAAATAATTTTCTCCATAGAATATTTTCATTTAGTTTAATATAAAAAATATATACATCATTGTTTCAGTAATAAATAGAACAATAAATGCAACTCTATAAGCTTCTTTCATAAACATAACAACATTAAATTGTCGATAAGCTCTCTAGAATAATATTAAGATATAAATATTGTAAAAATAAATGTTCTCAATAGAGCTAAGCTCACCTCCTCACCTCAGCCGTTAATCGATCTTGAAATTTTAACATAGATGTTTGACGAATATAAACAGGTTTCATTTCTTCTTTTCGGTTAAATCCAAATAGACAACCAATACCCATAGCAATAGCAGTACATTGCCAATCTTTTACTCTTGCATAGATTGGGTAGTCACCCAGTTCACTAAAACAAGAATAAGTAAATATTTTAGTTTATGGAAATTCAAAACAAAAATCAACTGCTAAGCATTTTACTAATAGAATCAATTGATAATCGTATCAATTTCAGTCGAAATCTATGTTGATCTTCCATATACATAACAGTAAATAAAACTTTAACTATTTAGATATACATTAGAGATATTTACTTCAGTACGCTAGTTTAGGGTTATAGATTAGGAATTGAATGGCAAGAACTTTGTTTTTCCAGAAATTTCGAATTTTCTTCAAAGTTTTTCACATTTTCGTGAGACATCATGACAGAAAGAGAACTCTAGCATTAAAATGAGATGAGTTCTCAAGCATTTTATCTGTTAGGGATCTCAATGCATATCTCGAATATCATCATCGTAGCTGTTCTTGTTTCAACGAGAGTGTCTAATTTTTTTCATTTTTAAGCTCTTTCTTACTAGTAAATGTGTCATGTCATATTTCACTTTTGTCAAATTTGCAAGAGCGAGCAGTTTTATTTGGAGAAAGCAACTTGATATGAACATAAATCGATATGAAGGAACCGTTTCGTTATCACAAATGAAGGTATCGCATCGATATTTCTCAATCAAATGTTCATCTGTTCGATCACTTATCGTTGTCGATAGCATAAGAACGTAGTAGATAGAAAGTTAAGTTGGAAAAATAGATATGATACCTTCCTTGGAATTTCGACAGAAGCCAAACATGACATATACATCTACCCGTAAGAAAGAGCCTAAAAATAAAAGATCCAGCCACTCTCATTAAAACGGGGGCAGCTAAGATATTGATATTCATCGAGATCCCTAACAGGTAAAATGTTTTTGGGATCATTCTCTCAAAAGGTACATTCAAGCATGTTCTTTCGTGAGAAAAAACGTAACAGAAAGTTGATGAAGACAGTTTCTTCAGAATTCTCAGCTCCTCCCACCTTCAAAAACAACAGAGAGCCTTGTGCTGGTTGCCCGTCTAGTGTCCATATGAACTTTTATTAATGCATTTATTTACATATGATTTATTGATAATAATAATTCAATCATACTTTTTTTATGTATATTAAATATTTAATTCCATTCGGTTTCAACATTTCATTTCAATAATGAAAAATAAATCTTACTCTTTCCAAAGAAATCGTTCGACACGATCACGTGGTGTTTCTTGTTTAAATCGAGCTTGTATTAAATTTTCTAAATCTTCTCTTGTTAAATAATGTTTTCCTAATACTGATAAAACATTCGATGATGGAAATGTTGATACTTTATCTTTATCAATTAAAGATTTCGTGTGATCCATATTTTTTGATAGATCAGCATTTGATGCAAGATCTCTATTTGAAATTAATGGTGGTGATTCATCAAGATTTTTCTTTTTTTGATAATCATCGTCCAAAATCGATATATTTTTATTGTTTGAATTCGATCCAAATACATTCAATGGCCATACTAATGAGCGTGATAAAAATAAATAAATCATCTTAAAAACAAACAAACAAACCATAAGCGAAGTTTTTTAGCATCTTTATTATTAAACGTTATATAATGAACCCCGAGGTTTTTTTTTAATAAACAGTACTAGAAAAAAAAATGTATCGAAAAAAAAAGAAAAAGAATAAGAAAAAAATCCGTATATTCATATATGTGTGTATATGTATGTCACATCAACGCATCTAATCTTAATATCTAACTAGAATCGTCATTTTAAATATTTCTTTTTTTTGCTTATGTCTCATAGACCGCTTGATGACAAAAAAAAAGATAAACATTTGATTTAAATAAAAGAGTAAAAGAAAAAAATAGAAGAGTTCCACATATCAAGGGCCATGGGGTCGTTGTTGATGTTCGGCGATCATGGACGGGTGATGACATGATTGCACAGCTATTGGAATTCCATTATTTGCTGTTGATCGATGAATGTCATATCTAAAAAAAAACGTTTTAGTTAAAAAAAAGCTAGCTAATGTAACTTACTGAGTATAATCACCAGTAGGTAATCTATTCATTTGTCTTTGAATTGATATAGGTGTCTGTTGATGTTTTTGCTGTTCAATAATACGTTGTTGTAATGCTTGTATATTCAATTCTTGTGCTTGTATTGAAGTTGGTGAGACACGTTGTGATTGTTGTTGATAAGTATTCGAATTAGTATTATTTGTTGGCATTACTGTTGTAAAATTAACTGTTCGTTGTGGAGCAATAGGTGCATGTGGTGGAAGGCCAGGCAATATTTGAGGATGATGAGGATGATACGGTGTTGTTAAAGGTTGTTGAAAAGAATTTGCTGATGTTGGTGATGGTTGATAGAATGTTGGTCCATTTGTAATAGTATATGCTGTTGGAGGATGAAGATGATTATATGGTGCCATTGAAATATGAGGATTTATTATTTGTGTTGGATGATGATATGGAATAGGTGCTGGTGTTGTTGCAACAGGTTGTGGATGAAGTTGAAGATGAACAAATTGTTCATCAAGAGAATTGATAAAACTAAACAATAAAAATATTTAAATCTTCTATATTGAATGAAAACGTATGTTTGACTTGTGATTTTTATTTTTAACTAAAGTTTTCTTTCCTCAAAGCTAACGTGGGAACATTTCTAAGTGATTCACTCCGTTTGTCTCCATATGTTGGCAATATGTAGGAGACCATTAGATTAGCATAACTTCTAAAGAATATCTGCTTATGCTTTGATTTAATCGAGATCGCAACTTTTTTTAAATAGATTCATCCTACAGGAGTCCATTTTTCGAAAAAAATTCTATTTGGAAATTTCGCTCTGAAGATTCGTACCAATAAAGGTCTCAATTAAACTATTTCGTGTATAAATTTTCATCGGTTTTGGATATCATATTGCTGAAATATGGATTTCTTAATATCTGCCTATATTACACAGCACTTAAAGACAGGCGTAGATATGTTTAGAAATTCTCGTTTTAGCAATATGATATCCAAAACTGATGAAAATTTATACATGAAATAGTCTAATAGAGACCTTGATCTATACAATGAATCTACTAACAAGTGGCTATCTCGACTAAATTTAAGCATGACCAAAAACGTTTTGAAGGTTATGCTATTCTAGTGATCTCCTATATATTGGTAAAATATAGAGATAAACGAACTGGATCGCTTAGGAATGTTCCCTCATAAGTAATGGAAAGACTATAAAATCCTTGAATTACTAGATGAGTATAGATAATTATCTTACTTATTATTGATTGGTTGTTGATGTTGAAGAGGTATAGGTTGCATATTATGTATTGAATGAGTTTGTTGATGTTGTGGTTGCATGTGTAAATGATTGGAAGGTACTGTTGATGTTGTTGCAGTAGTCCATTGATTAGTAGATAACGGCTGATGTTGTTGTAGTGGTGTAGCAAAATTCATATTTGCTGCTGGGTGAGTGTTGAATTCCATTGCTGGTTGATGATTTTTTGCATTGAATGGAGTGCCTAAAAGTAAGAATAAATACAATTTGTTTGAACTTGATCAAATTTCCAGATTTTATTTGTAATAATTTTTAATTATAGAAAAAGAAAATTATTTCATATAAACTAAAAGTAATTTTGATTACCATTATTATTCTTTTTAGTTCCAATATTTTTCATATGACCAGTTTGTTTAACTGGTGGTGGTTGCTGTTGTTGGCGATAATTTGAGATTGGCGTTTGTTGTTGATTATTAAATTCATGTGTTGTTGATTGTTTATTATTAGTACGCATTGGTGGACGTGTAGAATTTGCTAAAAGTGTTTGTGCACGCCCTTGTCGTGATGGATTTTTCAAAATACGTTGTTGCTGTTGTTGTGGTACTACAGGATACGGATATTGTTGTTGCTGTTGTATTGGAGTATGATGAACATTATCATTTGGTGCTCGATCGAGTATAATATCAAGTAAATGAGAGCCAATTTGAGCAAAATGAGCCTGAAATTAAAAATTAACAATTATAATCAATACTCAGTCGCAATTGGAGTAGGTTTTTATACAGTATGAGAGAATATTTTATGTTACATAACTAAGTGTTTTCATAGAAAACTTCAAAGTTAACTTAACCAAAGCGTTTCACTATATATGTTGTTTCGTTAGAAAGAGTCCTGCTACTAATGAAAAAATAGTTTTTTTTCAGACAAGGATATTTTACTAGAGAAAACAAATCTCATAATGTTCAATTCTTTCTTCAAGATCTCAGTGTTGTCTCTATCGCGAATAAAAACTTCATGTCAAAAGTTCTACTTTGTCTGACTAATGAAGTATTCTTGGCATAAGAGTTGATGAAACTCGTTGAAAAGAGACCCATAACTTCGGCTAGCCTTAGCCATTCTTCTTGAAACTTTCTTTAGTAAGAGCTATACTCGAATATAAATCTTTCCCTGAAAATTTCACGATTTCAGTCATCGAGAGAGAGAGAGAGAGAGAGAGAGAGAGGAGATACGTATTAAAGCAGTCCAAAACAATATAGACTACCGCACGGCTCAAGATCACAGTGAATTGGAATGCCTCATTTATGACACCATGTAGATATGCGAAGTTTTTTTTATTAATAAGAAAAAGGATGATAGCACATCAAAAGAACCTCTTTTGTATTGCAACGAAAATCATAATGTTTATAGTTAACATATGAGATAAAAAAATTCAAGTTAATGTACTTTTTTCCCAGTAGCGAAATTTCTTACGATGATTACATCAATAAGAATATTCAAAAAAAAAGAAACAACTAAATATCTTCTATACACGCGCTTTCTTTTTCTTACATTTCCATCACATAATATGATCATTAAATCTTGATTTTGTTGATAATATTGAGCTTGTAAATATTTCTGATGAAATAATTTTCCATTAAAAAAATGTGATGGACAACAATATTTTGGATGTATTGGTGCNTATTTCACTAGAGAAAACAAATCTCATGATGTTCAATTCTTTCTTCAAGATCTCAGTGTTGTCTCTATCGCGAATAAAAACTTCATGTCAAAAGTTCTAGTTTGTCTGACTAATGAAGTATTCTTGGCATAAGAGTTGATGAAACTCGTTGAAAAGAGACCCATAACTTCGGCTAGCCTTAGCCATTCTTCTTGAAATTTTCTTTAGTAAGAGCTATACTCTAATATAAATCTTTCCCTGAAAATTTCACGATTTCAGTCATCGAGAGAGAGGAGATACGTATTAAAGCAGTCCAAGACAATATAGACTACCGCGCGGCTCACGATCACAGTGAATTGGAATGCCTCATTTATGACACCATGTAGATATGCGAAGTTTTTTTTATTAATAAGAAAATGGATGAAAAAAATTCAAGTTAATGTACTTTTTTCTCAGTAGCGAAATTTCTTACGATGATTGCATCAATAAGAATATTCAAAAAAAAAGAAACAACTAAATATCTTCTATACACGCGCTTTCTTTTTCTTACATTTCCATCACATAATATGATCATTAAATCTTGATTTTGTTGATAATATTGAGCTTGTAAATATTTCTGATGAAATAATTTTCCATTAAAAAAATGTGATGGACAACAATATTTTGGATGTATTGGTGCACCACATACTTCATTAGCAAATAAAATTGTTTCAAAACCACGCATAAATAAATGTGCTAATTGTATTGGTCGTGTTTCATAATTTATTATTTGTATATGATCATATTGATTTAAAAAATTTGTTGATTGCATATTCATTAATGGTTTTGGTTGTAATTCTGTTATTAGAACAGCTTGAGATATAAATGCCATTAATTCATATGTATGTAAAATAGCTGATGTTGATGAATAACGAAAAAATTCCATATATATATAACGTAATATACATATAAATATAAGATAATCATATGATATTGAATAAATTTTTGGTAGATCACAATAATATAATGATTGTAAAAATGTTTTCATACGTAATTGACGATCTTCATCAGGACTTGTTCCAAACCAAAGTTGTTCAATTGTATGTTTTAATAATAATTGTTCACAAACAATTTCTGTTAAATAAGATCCATGTTCACTATTATAAACTTGTTCACGTATAATTGTATTATTATCAAATAAAATTGAATAAAGATATTTACGTATTGGACGAAAAAATTCACATACACCTGGGATTGTATTGCACATTTCAGGTTCAATTGTTACGGAAAATGTTATTTCATGCTAGAATTTGTTTTTTTTTGTAAATATTTTATTTAGAAAAGAAAACATTGTAAAACAGAAAAAACAGCAACCTACTTTGTAAAGACATTGAAAGATCCATGGCATCATTAAACCTTGTTTGTGAAGATTAAAAGCAGTACGTATTACTTCGATATTCGCACCTGAACAATTTTCGAATATTATATTTTCATCTGACTTATTCACTGATACTAAACAAGAAAAAACACATCAAATTTCAAAAAAAATAGTTGTATTATTCATTATTAAAAATAGTAATTTGTTTTTTATAAAGCTGGATATTATGTTTAATGTTAATGATGCTTAAAAAGTATGAAGCAATGATTGATAAGAATTTAATGAATGAAGAAATTTACAAAAGATAGATTTTTTTTTTCTTTATATTTCGAATAGATATTTACCATATATAGAGATACTAAATGATAGATAAAAAGTTAAAAACCATGGAGAATAGGAATTATCTAAGAGAATAATCTTGTATCATAGAACTTGTGAAATCAAAAGCATTCTATTTCAATACTCAAACATATTTTATGAAGAATTTCTTATTGAATCGTAAAATTAAATTTACTACATCTCTCACAATAGATTATGTTTAACCGTTTGCAAAACAAGAAGCTAAATGACTTTTTTTAATGTTGAACAATGACCAAATTTTTTAAAAAGGTCACAATATCAACCCACGTCCAAAATATCTCTCATTACTTCTCAGTATATAATCATATGTCTATGAATATTTGGTGCACTTCACAATGCTTAGTACTACTCATTTTCATTAAAAAGAACTTATCAACAGAACGCATTTAGATCAAACTACAGTTCGAGAACTCTGTTCAGCAAGATGGTGTAGTCCTAAGTAGTGTGAAGTTAGAACGCACTATATTTGTACTGTTTTGATCAGCAAAATGCATTTCGAGAGATGATATTGTGTGTCAGTAAACGAAATACTTCAGTTGGTGCTATCATTTGTTCAATTACATATGAGCAAATATTGGTATGTTGTCGTAGAAGATGGAGTAATGAATGGCTTCTTATTGAACTTTCTTCAATGTTTCAAAATTAACAACATTTATGAAAAAATGTTAGTTCGTTAAAAGTAGGTCACAAGACCATCACTTAGTAGTCTAATTGAACATTTTGCTATTTATGTTAGCACTAATTGCATATAAGTAATAAGTATGTCATAAAAACACATCACTTCTAATAATATCAAAGTAGACTATTCAACAGTAGGCCATCCTGCTGATTACTACGTTTTATGAAGAATTCATGCCGCTAAGTACTACGAAATGTATTAAGTTATTATAGGATTTCGAGCTTTTAGGAAACTTAATGAGAGGAATTTGAGCTTAGTTCGAACTTCATGTAACTCCGTTTTCTATTAACCAGAATCAGACGATTCTAAATTTGCTGAGCTAATCTATTTCATTGAAACAAGTGACACACTTTCTCTTTATATAATTATTTAGTATATAAAAAAAAAGTTTTTAGTTTCTGTTTTTGTATCTTGAAAAACTTCATCAATGAATTAAAGATAGATTTTAGTTGATATTTTACCTTGACTAGAAGAAAAATTAGAACAGAAAGACGTTTCTGACGATTCCACAGAATCGATTACTGATTCACTATCAATGATAGCCTTTACATAATATTGATAAGAATTAATTAATAATTGAGTTTTAGTTTTGCGTGCTTCATTATCTGTTAAATGTCTACATAGAAAATAATAATTTAGAATTTAGAACAAAAAAGAAAAAGAAAATTTTTTTTTTACTTGAAAACTTGATTAGTAATTAAATCAAAATCAATATCATTATCAACGTTTTGTTTTCGAATATAATCAACAAGACGTGGAATAAGCTGATCAACAGTTGAATTTATTGAAAGATTATTTCCATTTAAACGAGATTGTGTAGAAAAATCTACTGGTGAGGTTACTGATGATGTTTGTTGATGTTCTTCACTTGTATCAAGTGTATTATTATCAGGAGAACATAAGTCTGTTTTCGTCTCTGACATAGATGAATCGACTATTGGTGGTGAAACAGTTCCATTATTTTTCTATAAAGAAAATCATATTGTTTATTTTTTTTTCAAGACTTAAAACAATGAATAGATTAAGCCCGTAGAGTAGTCGGAAGTGTCTCCTTATGTTGTATATGATATCGTACTGATATTGAGCGCTGACAGATTTATGATATGATAAAACAAATCAACTGACTTTAAGTTTATACAACATTCAAAGAAGTAAACTAATGAATAAGATAATTATTATTATCCTATAACATCACTTGGTTTATAAAAGAAAAACTTAAGAAAAAGAAAATCATATCAGGATCTGTTTCGGATTTGATTTATTGAAAATTCTACTATCGTTAGAATTCTTCTGCCTTCATCATTATTATTGTTAAACAAAATAATTTCTAACGAATTATCATATCCATATACCATTAATCTATACTCAATGAATCTTGATTGCTGCATGACATGTTGCAAAAGATGAATAAAAAGTGATGAATATTAGGCTAGTCTTTATCAGTTATATTATAGGAGCATTGAATTAAAGGCATCTCTTTCCGCTTTCGTGATTGAAAATTTTTGTTTTTTTTTATGGCCATTGTATAGTTTGAAGTAGTATTTTTCTATTGAGTACATTTTAGGTTCCGACAATGGTCTTTAAATGATAAAAAAACAAATTTACATAACAGAAATGGCGAATCGTATTTTTTCACATATGCAATACACTGTTTGGAATAGGTATTTTAGTTTTGGTTTCAAAAAGTATTGTCTCGCTGTTTTTTTATATCTCTTACAAAAAAAGATTTTTTCTAGGATACCTTCGCTGTTTTGGTTTTTCTTTATTCGAAGGACAACAAATAAAAAGAAACTAACTCGAATAGTGTCTAGTGTCTGTGAAAATTTTTTCAACTCGATCAAACATAGAATCTCGCAAAAACGGGGGGTAACAATTCGAGCCATTTTTCGACATTATACTTCTAATATCTCACGGAAGAAAGCATCTGAGAATGTTGAGTCGATGACAACTTTTGTCCTATTCGTCAAGATCTAAGTGCCTTGAAAATTTCAAATTTTTCTCATGAGCCATTCTCCAGAAACCTCAAAAAAGGAGGTGGAAGGTACCTTTAAAGCAAATCTTGAAAGATATTTAATATATGTCATATTTTTTATTCCATACATCAAAATCTTTAAAAATGTTATTATAAATTAACTTATTCGAAGTCTTTCTTATAGTGAAGTCTATATATAAAAATTCAAAAATGAATTAATTTGATCGAAAACTTTACTAATAGTTTTATATCTATAATAAATATTTTTGTTTCTAGACTAAGCGTATCTTGAATGTTAGTCTGACAATGAATAAATGATATGAAGTAATATTTTAAATAAATACTTGAATAAAACTTACAAGTAAAGTACGTTTTGATAATGGTGTTGCAATATCTCGATTATGAAGTATATCATTATGAAAATGTATCAAATCACTATCAGATATAATATGATTTCCTTGAATAAAAAATAAAATAAAAAAAAAGGAAACAATATTATTTGTTTGATAAAAATAAAAATATATCTTAACATTTACCTAATAATGTTAAAAGAAGAGAAAATTGTTTATTATCAAGAGAAAATTTATCTTTTAATTGATTTAATTTAATTTCCACGAGTGTTAATTTTCCTTTTAATGATAATTTTAAATTTTTCGAAGAAAAATATTTTAATAATATATTCTTATTATTTATTTTTGTAGAAAATAAAAATTCAATATCAGATGAAACAATACCAATTAAACTTTGATTATATTGTCTAGCATATATTTTAACTTGTTCTTGATGTTGACATTGTCCATAACCCCATGTTTGATACATTATTAAATATGATGAATTTATTTCACGTAAAATTGTTCTTAAACATAATTGAAATGCTGGTGGTGATAACCATAAATGACGACGTGGTAAACCAGATTTATTTTGTTTTAAATGTTTAAATATTTGATTAACTTTTTTTCGTTGTTGAATTTGTTCATAATACCATTGAGATTGTCCATAACGATAAAGTGTACCATCGAAACAGAATATAAGACATAATGATAATTCTTGACATGTTCTAAGTAATGATAATATATATGAATAAAGATGTGACCATTCACCACCAGCTAACCAATCTGGATAAAAACCACCATATAGACGTTCTAATGTTGTATCAACATCGATTATAAGATGATAAAGTTGTATTGATGAAGAATTTTCATTATTATTTTGACGTTGATTGCGGATTATCTCTTCAATATCACGTTTCTTAGAAGGCGTATTTAACTCGAGACAATCGAGTATATTATTTACGCCAATCACCATTCTCTAAAAAAGAAAAAGAAAGATTTGAAAGACAGTTCAAAATCATTTTAGAATTAGACATATGTATTTTGCAAATATATTATACGCAGATTGAAAAAAATAATTTTATTAATTATTTCTCTATCTAGAATTTTGTTTTTAGCTCTACTATCTTATTCACTTAATTCAACAACCATAATTTTTTTTTTCATATTTCAAATTAGAAACTGTAACAAATTGAAAGTATCGATCTAGGTCCGTGTTCTAACTAATCCACCATGAATATTTATCTCTATTAAACTATGCATTTCAACTTAATATCGAATATAATTAAATTATTTTTTTGCATATGTCACAATAAAATGATTTAATCTTTTTTATGGAAGAATTCTTTCAGAAACAAAGAAAATACGAAATGAACCATACTGGAATGTCCCAAAAAGAGAGAACTGGAACAATCGTGCGTCAAACGACAGAAAGGAAAAGAAGAGGAAGACAACAATATAAATTTTATTGGTTAATTTTTTCTAAGTAAATCAAATCTGAATCTTCAGCGTCATCTATTTTTAATTATAATTCTATATTTATTTTTATTTTAATACATTTTTCAAAAAATAAAAATAAAAATTTTCATATTATTTTATTTTATAAACAAGCGACATAATATCGATTCGTTAGGAGTTTTTTAATACAAATCGATGGAAGATCCTAGGTATCGTCATAATCGTAAACATATTCGTTTCTTTTTCTTTTTCTTTTTTTTTTTTACTCAACTCAAATATTCATGTTTCTATTTTTTTTACTTAAGATTTTGTCTTTCCATGTGATAGGCATTACTCGATTGAAAGAAAATAAAATAAAGAATAATGACTTCAACAATTTTATGTCGAACAAGTCGGCAAAATCATCAAATATTAGTTTATGTTATTCGTAATTCATCTTCTACGTCCACTCAAACATCCATTAGATGGAAACGTCTTGCTTATCAAATAGGTGGTGGTCTTTTAACAGCTGGTGCTTTAGGTTATGCTTGGGCTCATTCACAAGCTGTTCATGCATCGGGTAATAAAGCACATTTAGTTTCATTACCGTGGACATTTCGTGGTCCATTCGATTCATTTGATCATGCATCTGTACGTCGTGGATTTGAAGTTTATAAACAAGTTTGTGCTGCTTGTCATTCATTGAAATTTGTTGCTTATCGTCATTTGGTTGGTGTTACACATACGGAACAAGAAGTTAAAGCACTTGCTGCTCAAGATCAAATTCAAGATGGTCCTGATGATAAAGGTAATATGTTCACACGACCTGGCAAACTTACAGATTATCTGCCAGCACCATATGCCAATGATAAAGTTAGTATTTTTTGTTAGTTTATAGTGAAAAATACAAGATTTTTTTGGCTTATATGTTTTAGGCTGCTAAAGACGCAAATTCTGGAGCTTTACCACCTGATCTTTCGCTTATCACACTTGGTATGTATGAAATAATAGCATTGATTTTTTTATAGACAAAAATCAATGCATAACTAAGAAATTTCTCTAATTTCAACAATATGTCTTTGAAAAAAAATATCTTCTGATAACTTGCAGTTTTTAAACAAACAAATGACCTAGTGAGGAAACTTTTCCAACTGATTAATCGCTTTTGAATCAAAACTATGTGTGTCATGTGGAATTTTTTACTTCAATCATATAATTCTTGGAACCGATCATATTTTTTTCGATCGAACTGACCGGTTGAAATTCTTGATTTGACTGGCAAACAGCCAAAACGTTTAATACATTAAATACCCAATGTGTTCTACGAAGACATACAATATAATTTTCAAATAAATCTCCAAGTTTCTAATAGTACCAACATCTATTTTAGTCTGTCATATGCTCTAATATTAAAAACGCAAGAAGATTTCTTTTAGAATATTTCATCTAGTAACTCACACCAACTTATACTAAACAACATCTATATTATGGCTTGGCTAACTTTGTTCAATAACGATATGATTTCTTTAAAACTGAGAAGTTTGACTTATTCTTATTTGAAATAATTATTTAACATAGCTAAAAGTTGTCTCAATTCATAAAAGGATATTATTACCGGTAGAACGATAAGGTTAGCTAAAACGTATGGTTTCTATATTAGACTTTATATTCTAAGGTTTCTTAATATTTGAATCTTTTCACAATTGTACGATGCTAACATTTGACCAAGTGTTAATAATAGAAAGGAATTTTTCTGAAATTTCGAAATGAAAGCATGAACTGGAAACTACTAGCTATTGAGGAGTTTATGAAAGTGAGTTAAAAATAGTCGAAAGAAGTAAGCTTGAAAGTTTGAAGTGAAAAATCTTTAGTTTAGATTGAAACTAATTTCTAATATATGGCTAACGGTACTTGAACATAATAAATTCATTCAGCATGATACGAGACTATCATCCTATGATGAAAAAGTGTTAGTTCAATATTTAGAGCTGAAACTTTATCAGTTGGAAGCTTCGAGGCCTGTATTTCTTGATCATGAAAGCCATAGGAATAATTAAAAACGAACGAAATCGGTCAACTTTAGTGCGCCAAAAAAAAGCAATGAAAAACCGGCAAAACGTCGATGAAGACAAATCGGTCCAATTCCAAGTATGGGTCATGTATATCGACAAATTCGATATTTTTATTTCAGAATAGAAAATTTCTGAGATGGATTATGGCATTCATTTAAAAGATAATGTAAAAAATGCAGTATCTTCTCAACAATATGCTACGGTCTCGAACTCTTCTTAGGATATTCATAGGTCATCAGGATCTACATAATGCAGATAGTATTGATTCAAAAGCAATTAACTAGTTAGGAGAGAATATCTCTTGTAAGATATTACTGTCGGCTTTTTTTACAAATATTCTCTACTATGTTTTAAATGATGTACAGGGTTGGAAATAATATTTTGCCCGGGAGATACCGCTATAATTTCAAATAGAAGACATAATGAATTTTATATCAAATGAAAGCTCGTCAAAAATGAGGTTTATTGATACTAAATAGTAAGGGTTATGAAAACTTTTTAATATCGAACTTAAGAAACTTTCAGAAATTTTATCCTTTTTTTTACGGTAGAAAAGTAAGGTGCCAGTAATTCAAAAATGAATTAAAATGTTTTTCTTGGATATTTTTACATGGTTCGATAGAGCTCGTCTCTACAAAACTGTATATATTAAAAATTTTCTGAGTCATTTTTTTGTGATAAAAAATTCAAAAAACTATTTGGGAAATCTTAAAAAACGTGAAAAAAAGTCATATTTTTGATATGGAAGAAAAACACTCGAATTTTCAATAAAATTAGCTTTTTTTGATTATTTTTACTCCCTTAGGCGTTTCGAAATATATTAATTCGATACAGTTTTTTACGCTGCATCGAATGAGTATATTTTCAAACATTTTACATACGGATACTAATGGAAAACAGCTGAATTTAGTGTAAAAAAAAAACACTGTTTCCCCTATAAAAATCCGGGTTTTTGGTACATTCTTTCGACAGTTTTCAGTGAATTTTAACCCAACAACTCTGCTTAAAAATTTTTAATATAAGAGCAAGTCGTGAGACGTCAAATTACCTAGGATTTATTAAAATAAAAATGTAATGTTTAAATCTCAGCGAATAAATAACTTAACGAACATTAGAAAACTATCTATTCTGATAATGCATGAGACTATAGCTGTAAATATGTTTTGTTTATCATAAAATGATTAACATTCATAAGAAGATATTGATTTTAGACTTCATTCTGATTAAGAATACTTATTAGATTATAGACATTTATAATTAAAACTGATCTCCTGTCAATGATTCTTATAAATAACTAAAATTCGAATTTACTATTTTATTAAAAAAAAACCTCATAAATCGTTCGAAAACAAAAAAAGAAAATTAATTCGATAAATCTGATTTGTGTAATAATAATATCTTCTTTTCGTAAAGATTTATATTACACTTAATAAACAACTAGAATATTAAATAAAAAACAAAATTTAATTCTACTATATTTATTTAGGTCGTGAGGATGGTTGTAATTATTTATTTAATTTATTAACTGGTTATCAAGATCCACCAGCTGGTGTAAAAGGTGAACCAAATCTTTACTACAATCCATATTTCAGTGGTGGTTGGATTGCTATGCCTAAACCGTTGAATGATGATCAAATTGAATATTCGGATGGAACAAGAGCTACCGAGTCTCAATTAGTTAAAGATGTAACAGAATTTCTTAAATGGACAGCTGAACGTGATCATGATGATCGTAAACGATTAGCTATCAAAGCTATTCTAATCTTTGTTCCTTTGGTTGTTTTATCGTATCACTGGAAGCGTGTCAAATGGGCAACATTGAAATCACGCAAAATTGCGTTTTACCGACCAAAAGCAAAAGACGATTAAATCACACAATGACATTAGCTTTTTTCTTTTTTTTTTCTTGTATTATCCATATTGTCCCTATAGACCAAGAAAAAATTTTTCTATTGCCTCGTTGTTATTATTCCTCGTTTAAACCGAAAAAAGAAGAATTTATAAACAAATCATCCACGAGAGCAATGCAGTTTAGTTAACATTTGTGACTTTATATTAAAAAAAAAATATAACAAATATAACACGTGATTTGTATCTCTTGATTCAACATTTACAATTAGAAGGATTACTTCTTTATTATGTTTGTATTTTAGATTGATTTTTTTTGTTCAATGAAAGAAACTATTTGAGCTTAAAAAAGTCTTTCTTACCAAAGAATTATATTTAGTGTGAAGCAAAAATTGTAGTCTTTCGTAAATAGTGTATAATAACAGAGATGGAGAAAATTATTCACGCTTACAGCTTCAATAGAATGAGTCATTATTATATATAGGCAAAAACGTTTTTCCTACATACACAGTAATGTATACTGAGAAGAACGAATAAGAACGTGACTGGTAGCCTACTTATCTTTTACTTTTAGAAATATGCCTTGGTATTGGCCGTTTAGAAAAGATAGTACAGTATT